ACCTACCACCAAATCCCAACAATTCTGTGTTCAAAATATTCTAACAACTGACCCACTTCTCATTACCACCAATCTGGTCTATATCACTATTAATGCTTGCCTAAACTATTGTGATTATTCCTCAGTAGGTCTTACTGCCTCCACACTTGTCCCTTATAGTGCATGATGCTGAGTGGCCTTGTTAACATGTATGTCATCACTTCTATCTTGAGACTCTTCTAGTGGCTTCCTTTATCATCTAGTTCTAATGGGCTGTCTTAGCCCATTTTGTGTTGCTATAACAGAATACCCAAGGATGGGTAGTTGATTAAAAGCAGACATTATTTGGCTAATGATTCTGGAGACTGGAAAGACCAAGAGCATGGTGCTGGCAACTAGTCAGGTTCTGGTCCTATGTCATTGTACGGATTAGAGAAGAGAAAAGGTTAGTGGGAGAGAGAAGGTTAGCACAGAGCACAACATGGAAGCCTACAGACTTGCTTTATAGCAATTTATTCTCATAGGAACTAAGCAGTGAGAACTTGCTCCCTCCTGGGAAATGACATTAAGCTATTAATGAAGGATCCATTCCCATGTCTCGTGCACCTCCCACTGGGCCCCATCTTCGTGCTTCCCCATTGGGGATCTAGTTATGAGTTTTCAACAGGGACCCAACAATCATCCCTTACTAGTGGTATAAAGGACCCTCCATGAGCTCCTCTACCACTCCTCCCACCTTCATCTTTTCTCACCTGCTCTCTGGTTCTGCATTCCCTCCAGCCACGCTGGCATCACTCATGTTTTTGAAACAGGCCACACCTGCTTCTTTGTTCCTTTCTGCCTGGAGTACTGCTCCCAGATATCCATATGGCTTATTTATTCTCCTTCTTCATGTCTGTACTCAGATGTCACCTCCTCCTGGGGCCCTCCCTATTCACCCTGTGTAAAATTATACCTTTTCTCTTCTTTAGTTTTCTCTACAGCATCTATCACTGCCTGGCATGCTGATTTTCTTTTTATACTTATTTGTTGAGGAGAGCATAAAAGAGAAGGGACTTTGTTGTGTTCATATCCCAGAATCATCTGCTGCTTGCCTGAATCTGTCTCTCTGGCAAGCACATACACAGTATAGCAAAAAAAAAAAAAAAAAAAAAAAACCCAAAAAACCTCTTTTAAAAATAGGCATTTTTACAACCATTTTTATAAATGAGGAAACCAAGGTTCAGAGAGCATAAGTCATTCAATTAGTGTGTTTCTGAGCTGTCACAATAGGGACATGATAGGAGGTGGATTCGGGAAGACAACATTTGTCTTGCCCACAGATCTAAAAGTTGAACTAAAATCCAAGACAGATCAAAGGTGGTCCACCTGGTTAAAGTCTAGGTTAATATGGCAAACCTCCTAGAATTTATCCCATCACTTATATGAAAAAAATAAATGTGAGACACCTGCATGTGCCAGGAAGTAGTTTAGTAGCTAGAGTTACAATGACAAGACAACCTATCATCCTGTATGGAGCATACATTCTAGTGGGGAAAGACAGGCACTGAACATGAAATTTTTTATATATATATATATATATGATAATTTTTCTATGGTGTCGGGGTTGTGAAGAAAATATAATTGGTGATAGAATTGAGGGGAATGGACTTTCAGTTGGAGCCAACCATTTCAGATAGTGTCAGGAGGTGATATGAGTTGAAACTCTACTGAGATAAGTGCAATAAGCAGAGGAGACAAGGGCCATGAAACATGAAATTTTATATATATATATATATATATGATAATTTTTCTATGGTGTCGGGGTTGTGAAGAAAATATAATTGGTGATAGAATTGAGGGGAATGGACTTTCAGTTGGAGCCAACCATTTCAGATAGTGTCAGGAGGTGATATGAGTTGAAACTCTACTGAGATAAGTGCAATAAGCAGAGGAGACAAGGGCCATGAATTGGGAACCAGCCTGGCACGCCTGAGGGACCACAGGAAGACTCATCAGTTTGGAATAGTATGAACAAGAGTGAACATATCAGATGATGAGGCAATGGCCATCTCATGCAGGCTTTTTAGGTGAGGAGTTTACTCTAAGTGTGGTGAGAAGTTGCCAGGACCCACTCAGCAGAATACATTTTTCTGAGTGGGGGGACAATGGATTAGAAATAAACATAAAAATGAACACATAAGACATACAAATATAGAGAAGCAAGGATCGGGTGGGCCTGACTTCTCTGATAGAGAAAGCAGTGACCCAAACTGGCCTCAGGTTTATTATTTTTTAGGGTAGAAAATAGGGGAAGAGGAAATGAAATGCAAAGCCAGTTGTTTTCAGATGTTAATCAGGTGATGATGTGAAAAGGACTGGCACCATGTGGTTTCTTCTGATCTTTTGGGTTGAAATCAGAATAACACATGTGGCTTCCTTAGACAGATACTGCTTTGCAGTATCAACAGCTACCATATTTGTATGTTAATGCTTTCATTGCTATGCAAATGAACCTCACAACCGAGGTTATGCCTATGTCTGAAGGTCACTGTTTGTTCAGAATGACCACTCTCCACAAGAAGCCACTAAAAGGGTTTATTTATTTAAGTTTTTTATTTCTTCAGAGAAAGAGGTACCCTCAACAGATCTTCACACTTTAATCCACCCCCAGCCAGCCACAATTACAGGCATACTCTGGTACCCAGCATGAACAGGGAGGCCTCTGGATGCACCCTGGGACCTTCTCAGATGGTCTTAGCATCACAGAACATTGTGTTAATGCTGAGCCTCTGCAGTTGGCACCAAATAATGCTTTAAACAAAGAAATGTATGTCAATGTGTACTTTGAAAGGAACACTCAGCTGTGCTATGGACAATGAAGAGCAACATGGTAAAAGTGAAAGTAGAAACCACTTAGGTTATTGCAACTGTGGGAGTGGAAGTTGATAGAGGTCTGGACCACTGCCACACTATCATCTGGAAATAGGAGAAGTGGCTTGATTTGGGATATATTTTGAAAGCAATGTAGAGACAACTCAGTGATGGATTGGATATAGGTAGTAAAGAAAAAGTGAAAATATTATCCTCAGGTTTTTGGTCTAAACCACTAGGAAGACAGAGGCTTTATTTACTCAGGTGTAGAGGACCATAGAAGATGGGTTAGAAGGCATGTGGTGAAGGATGGTTAGCAGTGGGTTCTCATTTCAAGTCTGTCCTAAGGAGCAGACTCCAGGATTTGCATTTGTAAATGCAGATTGGTGAATCTAATGAACAACCAGGTTCCTCTTCAGGAGGCTACTATTATCTTTACAATTATCATTAATATGATCAAAGTATCAAAAGTAGGTGTGTACCAGTGTTTAACTGTAAGAGGGCAGTGGAGAAGGTATGTGGAAGAAGGAGTTCAGTTCTGATTTCTAACCTTTATTCCTCACTGCCAAGCTATTGTTTATCAACTACATGCTTACCCTTCTGTGTTTTCCTCTGTGATGCTGTATCTGGGACTGGCACCCTGTATTTGTCCTTAGCTATTAGGAGTACTAGAGACAAGTGGTAAAAGGACTTGCTCTTTCCTTTGCCTGAATTTCCTGCCAGTCTCAGAGTTGACCTTGGCAGTTGATGCCAGATTCCAACTTTTGTCCTTTCCCCCAACCTGTACTCCTGGTGACCTTCAAAGGAAACAATACCGGAGGGTAGTGTTCTCCTAAAGGTCTAAACTAGCTCTTCATGGTCCCTCTTTTAGGCCCCTGATGTATCAGCACCATGTGGGCAAGCCCCCTTTTTGGCATCTCAGCCCTCTGAAGCCTGCTTAGCCAATTCCTTATGATAAATTCCCTCCACTGAAATATTGGATTGTTGGAAAATTTATGATGCATTCTTGCTTAGAAAAACACAGAAAAAAATATGTCATGACTTTTCTGACAACTCAATAATTATAATGTTTTCCATTTTCCTGCCTAGATGCTGACTCCTGGATTGTTGAGATGCATCATGACTTTGTATATGTTAAATAAAAATCTTAAAATTGATTAAATGAAATACTGAAACAGGGAATTAATAGATGTCAAGGCTGTTGATGCCTTTGGAGGTGACACAGTCAACCTCAGTTGTGAACCTAGAGAGAAGAAGTGATTTACTCAAGATCACTCAGCCAGAGGGAGAGACCCTTAGGGTACTGGAACCATGCTCTTGGCTCTTGGGCTGGTGCTCTTTCCACTGTGCCTGAGTCTTGATCTCCTGACCCTCCTGAAAAGTGGTAAAAGGACTTGCTCTTTCCTTTGCCTGAATTTCCTGCCAGTCTCAGAGTTGACCTTGGCAGTTGATGCCAGATTCCAACTTTTGTCCTTTCCCCCAACCTGTACTCCTGGTGACCTTCAAAGGAAACAATACCGGAGGGTAGTGTTCTCCTAAAGGTCTAAACTAGCTCTTCATGGTCCCTCTTTTAGGCCCCTGATGTATCAGCACCATGTGGGCAAGCCCCCTTTTTGGCATCTCAGCCCTCTGAAGCCTGCTTAGCCAATTCCTTATGATAAATTCCCTCCACTGAAATATTGGATTGTTGGAAAATTTATGATGCATTCTTGCTTAGAAAAACACAGAAAAAAATATGTCATGACTTTTCTGACAACTCAATAATTATAATGTTTTCCATTTTCCTGCCTAGATGCTGACTCCTGGATTGTTGAGATGCATCATGACTTTGTATATGTTAAATAAAAATCTTAAAATTGATTAAATGAAATACTGAAACAGGGAATTAATAGATGTCAAGGCTGTTGATGCCTTTGGAGGTGACACAGTCAACCTCAGTTGTGAACCTAGAGAGAAGAAGTGATTTACTCAAGATCACTCAGCCAGAGGGAGAGACCCTTAGGGTACTGGAACCATGCTCTTGGCTCTTGGGCTGGTGCTCTTTCCACTGTGCCTGAGTCTTGATCTCCTGACCCTCCTGAAGGGCCTAGCCCTTGCTCCTGGGATTGACAGGTCAGTGACATGCCTTATGTTGGGGCATCCTCATTGAAGCCCTCCTTTCCTTCCAGGAAATATACTTTGCTGGTCAACAATGGGTTCGCAATTTCCGCTGCATTGCTGATGGCCTGTTCTCCCCAGGCAGGAGCCTTTGAGATGCTCATCGTGGGACGCTTCATCATGGGCATAGATGGAGGTGAGACTTCACCATGATGGGGGCAGGAACAGATTCCTAAGGGGTGTGTTGAAATGTGAGAACTGTTCAGTGCCATCATAGAACTGGGACCCTCTACTGGTATTGAGTTGCAGGGACCAAGGATGCTAGGATGCTGCATTAGGTGGGACAATCCCATGGAACAAACCATTCCATCCACAATGCTCTAGCACCCAAATTGAGAAATGCTGAGCAGGCTAAACCCAAGTCGACCCCAAAGACCTGGATGGCTTTTAGCATGCCATGCCTTCTGCTTTGTTACCTTCATCATAAAATTCATGTTCCAAGGTCATTTATAGTGTGGGGGGATTTTTTAAATGAGGATTATGTTTCTTGTCTGGATCACTGACTTATTCTTTCTTTCATTTATTCACCAAGGATTTACAGAGCACTTGCTACACCTGGTGTTCTATATGTTAGGAACATAATGGTTAACAAGACCATACACCTGGAGCTTTTTGTCTAGGTGCATGGGCAGATACATAATCACACACATAAGGTAGGCGCTAGTAAGTCCTAGGAAGAAAACAAAGTAGGTAAGGGGATAGTGAGCACTATTTTAGACAGGTCAGTCAGCGAAGACTACTCAAAGGATGAAACATGAACAGAGACTAGAATGAGCCAAGAGAAAGAATTGAGTGACTACTCAGGGAATCAGGTGCCCAGCAGGGAGAAGAATGCAATGGCTCTGACTTAGAAGAGTGCTTGCCATGTTCAAGAAGGAGTGAGTAGGCCAGTGTGGTTGTATCCTGGTGAGCAGGGGGAACATGAATGCTGATGACTCTGGAGAGGAGCCAGGACTAGATCTTGTAGAGCCTTGTGGGTCAGAGTGAGGACTGTGGGTTTCTGTTGAGTACAAGGGAACCCAAGGGAGGAGTGTAAGGAATGTATCATGAACTGGTTGTTTCAATACAATTCCTCTCACCGTTGTGTAGAGGAGAATGTAAGAGTGGATAAGGAACCAGTTATTCATGAAGATGGGCTGTACTGGAACAGTAGGGGAGGTGGCAAGAAGTGGGTAGATTCTGGCTGTAGGTGTGAGAGCAGAAGACTCAAAATATATTGTCAAAACCAACAAATAAGCAAACAAACTCTTCTTTCTTCCTAAATATGCAAATCTTTAGGCATTTGTAGAATGGGCTCAAGCCTTAGGATTAGAAATCCCTGGATTTGGATCACAGCTCTGATGCTTGGCAATTTCTAATACTTGGTGAGTTACTTAATAGCTCTGAGCCTCAGTGTTCTCATTTGCAAAATGAGATACCGATATCTACTTTAAAGGACTGTAATAAGGCTCAGATGAAGTATTTTCTCTCTCTTCACATATATGTATATGTAGTATATACATATATACAAATAATATGTAAAATACATGCACACATATGCACACAATTCTTGACTTATAATGGTTGGACTTAACAATTTTTCAATCTTACAGCAGTGCAAAAGTGATACACATTCAATACTGTATTTAATAAATTACAATATTTTAAATTTAGTAAGTCCAATACTTTATTATGAAATGAACTTGTGTTAGATGGTTTTTCCCAACTGCAAGCATATGTAAGTGTTCTAAACACATTTAAGGTAGGTTAGACTAAGCTATAATGTTTGGTAGGCTAGGTATATAAAATACAATGAATACATTTTGAACTTATAAATGTTTTCAGTTTACGTACTGATAACCTCATGATAAGTCAAGGGACATCTATATGTATATTTATATCTATATCTAACACTGACTGAGACCTCATAAAGACTAATTCCTCTTCCTTGTTGATCTATTAAAGATTGAGGCAGGTGTTCAGGGCCACCACAGGACTGAGGCCCCCTAACGGTACTGAGTTGGTGAGGACCAAGGATGGTAGAATCCTGCACGAAGTGGGACAGTCCCACGGAATGAACTTTATAAGTGAGCTTTGGGCTTTAATAGGTGAGCTGAAAAGCAAAAGCATTTCTCAGAGAGAGGTGAGCAGGAGGGGTCTGGAAGTTGGGGGATAATAGATTATTCACTTGCCTTCATTGCCTTGCCAGGGAGGGAGTTAATAATTCAGGACTTTTTTGGGGGGAGGAAACGGAGTGATGAAGAGGTCCCACTGATAATCCGGCCTCCAGCATACAAAACTCATGTGGAGAGGCAGAAGGGAACAGCACAGGCCTTCTGCAAGAGACAGCTCCACGGCTCCTGCTATCTAGCCATTTTGGGGGAAATGGAGAGATGAAGAGGTCTCACTGATAATTAGGCCTCCAGCATACAAAACTCACGTGGTAGGACGATCCCTTTCAGGCCTCCTGTCTCTGTATCTGTCTTTGTCTCTCTCGACCTCTGTCTCTCTCTCTCTGTCTCCTCTCTCTTTTTTTTTTAATTTTTGCTTTTTAGAATTTTTTTTTAAGGTGAGGCATCTTTCTGGGCCTGTTGGCCCCTCCTAGCCCTTTATCTTGTTAATAATTCCCTCTCTCCCTCCCAACCCAGGAGAGGCGGAAGGGAACAGAACAGGCCTTCTGCAAGAGACAGCTCCATGGCTCCTGCAATCTAGCCATTTTGCATGAGTGTGCCGTGCGGTTTTCTAATTTTGGGGTTTTATTGAAATTTTTTGAATATTAATTTTTTTCAGTTTTATTTAAAAGTTTTTCTCTTCATTTTTTTCTCTTTTTCTTTGTTTCTTGTCTTTTTTTTTCTGTTGTTGCTATTGTTTCCCTCTCTCTGTTTCCTTTTCTACATACTCCTCTACGCTTAGATTAAACTTTTTAGTATGGGAAGAAACTGAC